CGGCCAAGCCGCTGCTTTATTCCCGTTGATGTTCCCCTCTCGTTGTTCCCCCCTCTGTTTCCCCCTTGTGAAGCTTCAATTTATAGAATGGAGAGCCAAATTCTTCCGTTGGAGCATTGATTTTGGCGAACGTTGGAGAAGAGCCGTTGGAGGCTTGGTCGTCGCCGTTACTCTTCGAAGAAGAAGGAGATGGAGCGCATTTTTTTCCTTTCTTCGTTGACTTAGAATGAGGGAGCAGAGATGGGTTGTATTTGTTGATGGCTTTGGGCTTTGGGCCAAATTCAATCTCTTCTTTTCAAACTTGAACTCCGTTTTGGCCTTTTGCTATATTTTTCTCCAAACAATAAGATATCTGATAATTTTTTGGTTAGGAAAAATAAAATAAAAATAATAGAATGTAAAAAATGATTAAAAAACTACTATTTATGAAAGAAAAATAAAAGATTGTAAAAATGAGAATTAAAATAAAACTAAACTAAAGAACTAAAAATTAAATACTAAAAATATAAAAAATGCATAAAAAAGAATAAAAAGAACTAACCCAAAAACGACTTATCAAATACCCCCACACTTAAGACTTGAACGTCCTCGTTCAAAAGACCAAAAGAAACCAAACTTTTTATCATCATCAAGAAAAACAAAGTGCACCTTACACACCCACACTTAAGACTTTATGCCCAAAACGTTTTTAAAAACAAAGTGAGCTACAAGTCCTATAAAAATATAGAACTAAATAATGGATTATTTGGGTTCTAAAAAAATTCTCTAAAGTTGCCACAAAAAAGTTTTCTAAGGGAATCCTACGGTCTAAACGGCTTAATGGCAACGGTAGCAAAAAAAAGCCTAAAAAAAAAACTTTTTAAAAAAATATAATGTTTCTAAAACTTGTTTCTTTCAAAAAATGATTAAAACAACATCTAAATAGTATGTGGATGACCAGTTCTAGAAAAAAAACTAAGGAAACCTAAAAGGATTCAAACTTAAAGGTCATTTACTGAGAAAATGGGCATCAAGACTCAAAGGTGGGGTTGTAAAAGAAACATTTGTCAACTTTCAGAATAAAGCTCAAGAAAAAACGATGAGGTTTTTGGGTCAATTTTGAAAACAATGCTCTGATCTAAATAAGAAGATATGCAATTAAGAATGAAAAATATTTGGACCCAAGACCTATTTTGAAAAGAAAAAATTTGCCCCAAAATATGATTTCCCAAATAATAAGATAATCGTGAGAAACTCCCCCCACACTTAAAATGTGCATAGTCCTCGATGCATCTATATGATATGCAAACGACAATATTAAGCAAGCACTAACTTAGCAAAGAGAGAAGGGGAAAGGGAAATGCAACTAAAAAACAAAGTATACGCAGCACCAACTCATCACTTTTCCCTCCTTAAAGTGCTCGATGGACCTAAAAACTGCAAAACATGACTAAGACCAAGTCTTTTAGTATTGACGAGATAAAAAATCAGATTTAAAGAAATGCAGATTTCAAGCTTCAAGTCAAGTTCCTGAGAACAGATTCTAGCACTCTTTTGCATTTTCAAAGCAGAATATTGTATATGAGAAGGTTAGTTATGTCATGCTCGTGCAGAGCATGCAGCTCATATGCATCTATTAAACTCAAAAATCAGATTGATCACTAAGAAAAGATTGCAGATTTTTTCTATTTCAGCACCTTTAAGCTGTAAAATTTGTAAAATTTCTTCCTGGGCATTAATGTCCAACGCACTGCTGGGGGGCCTTTTCCTTCATCAGACACAGTTTGCACATGAGATCCTTGAGCGGGCTGGCATGCTTCACTGCAAGCCTATTTCCACCCCGGTTGATACTAAGGCGAAGCTGTCAGCCACGTCTAACACACCCCTTCCGGATCCCACCATCTACAGATCCATTGTTGGAGCCTTGCAGTATCTGACGTTCACCCGGCCCGATCTCACCTATGTTGTACAGCAGCTCTGTCTTCATCTCCATGCCCCCCGCAGCTCTCATCTCACAGCTATGAAGAGGGTCTTGCGCTACATCCACGGCACGGCTACCCATGGCATCACTCTCCACCGCACTAGCACAGATTCCTTACAGGCATATTCGGATGTTGATTGGGCAGGCTGCCCTGACACTCGCCGCTCCACATCTGGGTATTGTGTCTTCCTTGGGGACAATCTCATCTCTTGGTCCTCCAAGAGACAGGCCACCACTTCTCGCTCTAGTGCTGAGGCAGAATACCGCGCCGTGGCGAATGTAGTAGCGGAGACTAGCTGGGTCAGAAATCTTCTCCTTGAGCTTCATTAACCTCTCCGACGTGCCACACTGGTGTTCTGTGACAATGTCAGTGCTGTATATCTTTTGTCTAATCTCGTCCAGCATCAACGCACCAAACATGTTGAGGTCGACATTCACTTTGTCAGAGACAAAGTTGCCCTTGGTCATGTTCGAGTTCTGCATGTTCCCTCCTCTTCTCAGTATGCTGATATCTTCACCAAAGGGCTCCCATCTCTCATATTTTTCGAATTCAGACACAGTCTCGGCGTTCGACCGTCACCAGTCACATAGTTGGGCGGATGTTAAATATAGTATGTATATATTTAATATTAATGTTGTAATCATTGTTAATATGGAAGTTGCCTTGTATGGGATTCCTTCCGTAGTTAGGATTCCTTTGTACTATATATACGAGGCTTAGCCCTCCATCATTAATCATAGAAATTAATCATTCTTCACCTTGAGTGAGGAGTCTGTTCAAGGCCCTCTTCGTCACGAACCTACGACGGCGGAAGTTTCAAAGAGATCTGGCCGTTTGGTGCGCAAGGTGGGCACCAACGTTCGTGCCTATCTTGAAGGCTTTCGTCGTGCTCATCACAAGAAGACTGCTAACACAACCTTCAAGACGAAGTTTGTGATTGATCATGACACATCCTCCGTGGATTCTTCTTTTTCTGAAGAAATGGGTGTGTACTTTGACCATTCGGGAAATAGTGATTCACGTTCTTGTGCTTAAATGATGATGTATCGTTGCCTTCTGGCGTATTTTATGTAATGAAACTGCTTGTATGCTCTATTTTCTTTTCTTTTCTTCTCTTTTCTCTTTTTTTTGCACCCCAAGGGGTTTCTATTGCGCTCACACCCTCAGCAGGGCGGGGAAAGTTGTGTCTTCAGCAGGACTAAGGGTCGTGGAAGACATCCTAAGCAGGATTGCAAGTTTTCCGTCCTAAGCAGGACCTTGCGCTCCCTTCGTGCTAATAACAAGTTGTGCCCATTCGGACCTTGTTCTTCGTCTCGTTCAAAGCGCCAATTCCCCGGGTTAAGCCGTGCGGATGGGCTCCCCCCTGAAGGGACACTCGACAATAGACGTTGCCGAGTGGCGAGACGGTTAAATTTTATTTCTTGTGATGTGTGTGGGAGCTCAAAGGGACTTTGTTCGCGTAAAGCGAAAGACTGCGCGATGCCAAAATCGTGGCGTGGGGGCCCGATGTCGCTAAGCAGCGTTGTAAATTGCGTAAAGCAAAGCTGAATTCGCGTGGAAGCGAGAATTTTATTAACCTTTTTTTAGCTACCGAGGCCGACTAGTTACGGTTCTCAGTGGTGCGGTACGCCCATAGCACGTTGGGGAGTTGGTCGACCCATGCTCCTTTGTGGGGCTCGAGTCTCTTCTTGATCCCATCCATAATCGTCCGATTGGCGTTCTCCACTTGATCCCATCCACTTGGCACACTTTGCAACGCTTAGCGCGTCTTGCACAGTCCTTCACCATGGTCGGCCAGAAGTATCCCTGCAGGACTATGCGTCTAGCCATGGAGAAAGGACCTTGGTGTGTTGCGCATATTCCCTCGTGGACTTCTTCCATGATCTGCCCTGCTACGGCTTCGTCAATGCATCTCAACAGTGTGCCGTTGTATGACCTCTTGTACAGTCGGCCGTTCTCAATGACATACGTCGGCTCCCTATGTTTGATTAAACGGGCCGCCGTCTCGCCGTTGGGAAGGATCCCATCCTGCTTGTATCGGATCAACTCTGCGATCCAGCCGCTGGTTTCTTCAGTGACAACAGATATGAGCTGCACATGGATACTTGGAGATCCCAGGTCCTCCACGTGAGCCAACTTGGAGATGTGCTCAGGACTGTCGTTGCTTAGCTTGGAGAGGACGTCGGCCTTGGTGTTCTCTGCCCTGGGAATTTGCACCAACTCATATCCTTTGAGGGTTTTATGCAATTCCAGGGCTGCCTCCTTGTATAGGTGCATCCGCTTTTCCTTTGTGTTAAACTCACCTTTGATCTGACTGACGACCAGGCGCGAATCGCACCTGATCCTGACATACTCGGCCTTCAGGTTGAGGATGATCCTTAGGCCGCTCAGCAATGCTTCGTACTCCGCTTCATTGTTGGAAACCTTGAACTGGAATTTTATTGCGTGATAGGAGCGGAATCCTTCAAGTGATAGGATTACTACGCCCCCACCGCAAGCTTTTGCAGCTGCTGATCCATCAGTGGACAAAGTCCACCACTCGCCCTGCTCGGCCATGGGCGTGGGATTGTTGTCTCGCGCCGTGCATTATACCATGAAATCGGCTAAGGCCTGGGCCTTGATCGCTGTCCTCGTCTTCATTTCTATCTGATACTGGCTCAGATAAACAGACCACTTGATGACCCTGTTAGAGGCTGTTGGATTCCTGATGATGATGCTCAGAGGATGATGACTCCTCACCTCCACTTCGTGGGCTTGAAAATAATGGTTCAGCTTCTTGACCGTATTGACGACGGCCAAGACTGTTTTCTCTACCACCGAGTATCTGAGCTCGGCATCCCTTAAGGTTCTGCTGACATAGTAGATGGGGCGTTGAGTGTCTCCCTCTTCTCGTAACAAAACAGAGCTTATAGCTCCAGGGCTGACACCTAAATAGAGGTATAGCTTCTCGCCCTTGACCGGCTTTGCCAACACCTGCGAGGTTAGTAGATATTTCTTTAATTCTTCGAACGCCGCATGGCATTCGGGCATCCACGGGAATTTCGGGACCTTCTTCAGCGTTCCGAAGAAAGGGATGCTCTTCTCGGTGGACTTTGATAAAAATCGGCCGAGCGCGGCCATCTTTCTCGTCAGACGTTGCACTTCCTTTATGGAACGGGGGGCCTCCATCTCCAGGATCGCCTTCACCTTCTCCGGGTTGGGTTCGATACCTCGTCGGCTGACGAGATATCCTAGGAACTTGCCACCTTCTACACCAAATGTGCATTTCTTGGGGTTAAGACGTAAATTGAACTTGCGCATAATAGAAAAAACCTGGGAAAGGTCCTCCGCATGGTCGGAGGACTGCTTGCTCTTGACGATCATGTCGTCCACGTATGCTGCCATCGTCTTCCCCAAGACCAAGTGGAACACTCGGCTGACTATCCTCGTGTATGTGGCTCCACTATTCTTCAATCCGAATGCCATCACCAAATAGCAATACACCCCCTCCGGGGTGAGGAACGTCGTCTTCTCGGCATCCTCCTCGTGCATGAACACTTGATGATATCCTCTGAATGCATCCATGAAAGACATTACCTCGCACCCGGCCGTTTCGTCGATCATCTGATCAATGATGGGCAAAGGGAAGGGGTCATAGGACAAGCTCGGTTCAGGTCAGTGTAATCTACACACATCCTGAACGTCTGCCCCTTCGGCGCCAGCACGACGTTAGCCATCCAGGGGGGGTATTTGATCTCCTTGACATGCCCCGCAGCTTGGAGCATGTCCACTTCCTTCTTCACGAAATCCCTCCGGTCTTTGCTCAAGTGTCGCCTTCTCTGCTTTATGGGCTCCGTCTCCGCTCCCACTACGAGGCTGTGGGTGATTAGAGACTTGCTGACTCCGGGCATGTCCTCGACATTCCATGCGAACACCACGAAGTTCTCCCTGAGTACCTGAATGATTTTTGACCGAAGCTCGGCACCGATGTTGATACCGAGCTTGATCTTCTTCTCCTGCTACTCCTCCATAATCACCACATCTTCTGTTTCCTCGGCCGGCTCAGCTCAAGGACGTCCATCTTCCTCCTTTAATAGTGTCGTGGCAATGTTGTCCACCCTCAAATCCTGGGCATACATCTTCTTTGTCTGCTTTTGGTAGCAGAGCCGGGCGAGCTTCTGGTTTCCTCTGCACACTCCCACTCCCGAATCAGTTGGGAACTTCATACACAGGTATTTCACAGACATTACGAAATCGAGGTCTTCCAGTGCAGGTTGGCCCAGAATCAGGTTGTGGGACCCAAGGAGTCGCACCACCATGAACTCGACCGGAATGGTCTTCTTATGTTCTCCATCACCGAAGGTGACCATCACCTCGATCAGGCCCTCTGAATCGATGATGTCTCCTGTGAACCCGGACAAAGGGGTCCTTACTCTTTTCAGGAGCTCTTTCTTCAACCCCAGCTCCTCAAATGTCTTCACATACATGATGTTGACCGAGCTCCCATTATCAACGTAGGAACGGTGAATTACCACCTCGTTGATCTCGCACTTGACGGTCAGGGCGTTTCGGTGCGGGGATGGGATCTCAGGTAGGTCCTTGGGACCGAATAGAAGGGGCTCTATCTTCGTAATCTTCGACGGTCCAGGTGCGCTGCAAACGTCCCCGACGTAAGCCGAGTGCACCCACTTCTTCCTCTGCTCGGCGCTGTTCCCTCTGGTCTTACCACCGTAGATCATCCGGCTATCTTCAACCCTCCTCTGTCTAAGGTTAGCCTCTTCTTCTTCGTCACTCGGAAGGCCTATCTCCTTCCTCTTCTTCTGCTGGGTCCCCGCCGGTTTCTTCCCTTAGTTATTTGCGGTTTTCTTTCCATCGTCCTTGCGCCAGGTGTTCTTCTTCTTGACGAACTGCCTTAGGTACCCGGCCCGGATCAAGTTCTCGATCTCCCTCTTGAGGACCTTACAAGCGTTCGTATCATGGCCGGATGCTATGTGAAACCTGCAATAAGGACCCTCACCGACAGTGCAAATCGGGGGGAATCTCGAGTCATATTCCACCAAGCCTTGATGCTCGGCGAAATCTAGGATGGCGCTGACGGGGTGTGTAAGAGGTGTAAGTTCATCCGGGAATAACAGCTTGGGACCTCTGGGGGGATAAGGTTTCTTGTCCTTGGCCCCTTCTTCATACGCGTCCTTTCCGAAAGACCGTTTGTCACGCGGGTCTCTGCCCCTTCGAAAACGGTGTCCGACTGGCAGATGTGACCGCTTGTCAATGGTGACCTTCTTTGTCGGAGGCTTTGCCGTCTTCAAAACGGGCCCAGTCTTCCTGCCTCCTCTTTCTTCTTGTTTGCCTCCAACTCTTCTGCTTCGGCATCGTCCTCTGCCATGGCTAGAGCGATGGCATACTCCCTCGGCTTCTCCAAAGCCAACCGCTTGGAGAAGTCACCCGATCGTAAAACTAGATGGAAAGTGGATAACCTGGTTTTGTCATCTGCTCCATAAACTCTGGTGGTCTCCAGCTTCCATCTCGTCAGGAATTCCCTCAATGGCTCGTCCAGCCTCTGTCTGACCGACAGGAGATGCGAGAAATGCAGCTTCTTCTTTCTGTTTCCGGCGAAGTGCACTAGGAACCTCCGTGCCAAATCTTCCCAGGAATCGATCTTCCTCTCAGGCAGTTCATTGAACCACTCAGACGCCAACCCGTCGAGAGTGGTGGGGATCGATCTGCAAAGGACTTCCTCAGAAAAAGTCACCACGTTCATGAGGTTTGATATCGGTTGAAATGCTCCTGCGGGTTGGCAGTTCTGTCGTACCTCGATATTGGTGGCATTTGGAAGCTACTCGGCAAAGGTGCCCTCAAAATCCTCTCCGAGAAAGGAGAACGGAGTCTAAACACAGGTTCGGCCACCTGTCCTGGCCCGCTTCTTTTTTTTAAGGCGTCAAGCCTCTGCAAGAGAAAATTGAGGCGCTCGTCCCCCGACCTGCCAACGCCCCCATCCATCGCGTTGGGCGTCCCCTGCGGCGCTCTCAAGATCGGATGATGGATGGGCTGCTCGATCTGGGAACTTGGCCTTTCCGGATGGGCTTTTCTGTGTCGGTCACACTGTTCCTCGCAAGGCATCCTGATTTTCCCTGCTCTGTCCTACAGGAAGGCATTCCGTCGGCCATGCAACCGTTCCGTGGCCGGCACTCGCATCCGGCTGAACACGGACACATGCGACTCACTTTCGCCATGTCCTTCCTTCAGGGGTTCATGGCGCTTGCTTGTCGTATCCTTGTCTCGACGGCTAGTTGCTTCTTGTTGGTCCTATGCTCCGGGGCCTTGCCGTTATCCCGCTGCTGGGAGCGGCTCAATTCCTTGTTCTCGGGTCCCCCCGCTCAATTCCTTGTTCTCGGGAGTCCGTCATCAGGTTCTTCAAGTGTTGAGGGAAAAGCTCTGCGCTTTCTACCACATTCTACTGGATCTCACGACGTCCTTCGGGTTGGAACGTCAGCTTCGGAATCGTGACCGGCACGTGGAGGCCTGTCATGGGCTGATTGAACATCATCGCCCTCATTATTGCCAAGAAGCCGCTAGGGTCTAGGCCTGGAGTCCTCGTACCGGAGGTCTCCCCAAACTGGAAAAGCGGTGAGTTGAAGTCACCGGGCAGCATCACACCTTCTCCACATACGAGTCTGTTGGGAGAAAGTTGAGTCAGAACGCCGGTGCCCTGGGCGGGTGCTTGCTGGGTAGGTGCTTGAGACACCCCAACATTCGTCGTTCATCTCCTGGGAATGCGATGGCGTAGATCAGCGGTGTTCTGACTAACGACGTCATTGAGGCTGACGTCCAGATCATCATGACACGCACCGATCGGCGCCGTGACAGTCATCTTGAGGTTACCACCAGTGTTGGCGGCAGATGACCGGGTCACTCTTCTTGACGCAACCATTTTCTTGGAGCACGCCTGATGTGTTCGACACTCTCAACCAGAGCACCAATGTTGGGTTAGGGAATCCGGGGGGCTAGGAAACTAGGCAGAAGAGTATCAAACTAAGTCGAGAGTGCACAAAATCTGGGGCCAAGCAAACTAAGAGTAATCTTGTGCTAGTTAGAACGTAAGTAAAAAAAATTTATCTCCCTTCCTTTTGAAAGGAAGGGGTTTATATGCAGATTACAACTAGGGTTCCGACCGTTGGTCCATAATCCAACGGTCTGGGCCCACTAAGATTGGGTTGTCCATTGGCGGCGTCCAACCACATCATTAACCCTAGGATTGCTATACAAAATAGGTTACAAATAGGGTGGCTATATCAACTCTGCCAGAGGCATGGCGGGGTCTAATCGTGGGCCCCTTGATCTTGACTTCAATCAGTTTCCTTGTCCAGGTCTAATCTTTCGTTGCCCAGGGCCGAGGCCGAGCGCGTACCGCTGCCAGGGTGGTTTTCCATGGTCCTTTGTTCATTCTTGCTTTGGTCCCGTCAAGTGGGCCTTAGCGAAGTTGGGCTGGACCGTCTTCCTGTTGGCTGGATACCCCCATTCCCGGGTATCCATCAAAAATATTTAAATAAAATAAATTGAAAAAAATTAAGATTTTTATTTTGTTTAGTGTAAAGTATAATTTATTTAGGGAATGGAGGAGTAAGACTTTAAATGCAAAAACACAACTAATATAAAAACTAAAGAAATAGAAATATATTATAACTGTGCCCTCTTCTTTTGACAGCAAGGGTGTTGTCATAATATGACAACACCTCCAATGAGAGTACCTACGGGGCTTCAGTCGTAAAATTGATGGTTTCTACCCCCTAACCTTCCCGGTAAACCCCCACCCCAATCCACCCCGACCCGAACCCATCACCCCAACCCTTTTAATTTTTTTCCAAATTTTATTTGACTTTTGGATATAAAAAATTTGATCCAAAAGTGAATTAAATATTTGGAATAAAATTGAAGGGGTTGGGTTCGAGGTGGGTCGGGGCGGGAAGGAGGGGATTTACTAGGGTTTAGTGGGAGTAGGAACTATCAATTTTATGATTGAAGTTCCTTAGGTACTTAAGTGGATGCAAAGGGTGACGCCTTCGGAAGCTGAACTTGTCCCACCATTCCTACTGAGTCATTTTGTGGAAAGACTTACTTAGTTGAGCATAATAGCAACTAATTGGCAGCATTTTGCCTGATCTCGAATACTCTGAATCGGTCTAGTTACAACTTTTGATACCTCTAAAACTGTTTTACACTTTTTACTCTTTTCATATGTAGAATTATTTTTAATAGCTTCTTATGTAAAACTTAGCCAAAATATTTAAAAAAAATTCTTTAAATTGATTATATAGTCTTTTTATTGGCTACATTTAATAAATTTTGCAAAAAATAAATTTGGATACTAATATGTTGAAAATAAAATCATTTTTTAGTAAATAAACATTAACTTATAAAATACGTTAAATTCAAACAATTGTAAGTTCTTGTTTATTTGAAAGTCTAAAATGATGTTGTTCCGCTACTTCAAGTTGAGTATAAATAGTATACTTTTTTGAAAATTTGTTATTTCAATGATTGTATTGACACAATTGAATAATTGTATTTAACACATAACAATAGGGTACATGGTAGTGTATATATGGAGAGACAATACAAATACAACTACGAATAGGAGTCCTAGAGATTGACTAAATACAAGTTATACTATGATTAGGACTGCTTCCTAACACCCCCTCTCAAGCTGAACGGCATATAGCGAGTGGAAGCTTGGATACAAGATTCTGAAAACGTGGTGAAGGAAGAGGCTTTGTGAGTAAATCAGCAAGTTGATCTTCAGAGAAAACATGAGAAACCTCCATAGAACCAACAATGACCTGTTCTCGAACAAAGTGACAATCCGTACCCACATGTCTCATTCGTTTATGAAACACAGAATTTTTGGTAAGACAAATTGCCGACTAGTTATCACACAAGAGTTGTGGTGTAACGAGAGGAACACGGAGATCCGTTAAGACATAGGTAAGCCACATCACCTCCGCTGCAGCCAATGACAAAGCAGGGTACTCGACCTCGGTGGACGACCTTGATACGCGATACTGCTTCTTCGTACTCCAAGAAACCAAGTTTGGCCCAAGGTAGAGTAGATAACCTATGACCGATCTCCCATCAGACATATCATTAGCCCATTCAGAGTCAGAGTACGCTCTAAGTTGTAAGTCACCAGGCCGAAACACAAGACCATGATCAGTGGTGCCCTTAACAAAGCGAAGAATGTGTTTTAAGTGTTGGAAATCGGCATATGTCGGGGCATGCATAAGTTGGCACACATAGTTGACAACAAACTGAATATCAGGCCGTGTAGTTGTGAGATATTGTAGACCACCAACGAGACTTCGGAACAGAGTTGGATCTGGAAAGAGAGAAGATTCCCCCTCTGAGGTCTTCGGCCGAACAGAAATCAGTGTGGGAGCAGATTTACAGTCTTCAAAACCAGTTCGGTAAAAAGTGTACCACAGCGTATTATAAAAATAACACTAATAAGAAATTAAAACTTTATTTATTCTAATTTTACTTGTCTAACATATAGAATAATGTTAATAGAAACATAATTAATGAAAACACATTTAATATAATCATACTATAAAGGTTATACATTATTTCTTAAATAAAACTCAACTAGATTGTAAATTATTATAAGTTACATCATCCCTAAATTAGTTCATTGCTTGTTGTTTTTTTCATCCAAAAACATCACCTTCGACATGTCTTCTGTCATAGGTTGTCTTGGTGAGATATACTCCGTATATGTATCCGATTTTGATGAAGACAAATAAAATTGTGCAAAGCACATGTAGCATTAACGTTTTGATCTTGTTTCATTTGAGGCATATATATTTTTTACTTTTCTCAAAAATATTTTTTTTACTTTTCTAATTTTTTATTTTATTTTATAAAACTCAAATAGAGAATTTTTATATAACAGAGGTAATTTTAATATACATCCGACATGTGCACATTTAAAAAATAAATAATATGAGTTTTACATAATTTTTTCGTTATTAAGTTGATGTATGGACATTTATTTTTTTCACATGCTTAGAATATGTACATTATAAAAATTAGTAATGTATGCACTTTTAAAAGTAATGTAATGCTTAATTAAAAATAAAGTATACAATTATTTTGGTCAAAATTTTTAAAAAATTTGACAAGAATACATTTAAAAAAACATTAATAAAAATTCAAAATTACAAAGGAAATTATTAATCAATTAATTTAATATTTTAATAATTTACGCGACACGATAATGACAACTAAAATTTATATGCAAGACACATTTTTTTTTATAAATTGTGACATCAAATCAATTTTCTATTTTTTTGGGATAACAACAACAATAATAATAATAATAATTTATGGAAATAAACCTAAATAATTTTTGTAAGTCATTGTTGGAATAAGTTAGAAAAAATTAGAATGAATTGGAAGAAAATGGAAGGAGTTGGAAAAACTGGAAATAATTAGAAGAAAGGGAGAAAGACCAAATTAGGACTAAAACATTGAAAATATACCAAAATAGGACTTCCATGTTTTTATTCCCGAAATAGGACTTACATTACCAAACGTGGTCATATACATTACCAAAAAAGTATAGTAATTTGCACATGTACACTGCCACATTACCACAATGCAAAGTCACATTACCACAGTGCAAAATCCTATTTCGGAAAAAAAAATGAAAGTCCTATTTTGGTACTTTTCTCTATGTTTTAGTCCTATTTAGGATGATTTCTATAGAAGAAACTGGAAGGAATTAAAAAAAAGCTGAAAGGAATTGAAAGAAATTAAATTGAATTGAAAGAAAATAAAAATAATTAAAAATGTTGAAAGTTAAGAATTAATGCTCAAATAACAAATCCTAAAATGGTTTCTCAATTCACTAAAATTTTACAAATAGTTATTGGAGATTATTGTCATTTATAGTATCGATGAGGGTGGATTTCTCAATATTTGTTTTTTTGGAAATAGGCAGAAAAAGTGATGGTTCCACCGGCCCACCTTTTACACTGGCAGGAAGGAGGGCTCACGAGCCATACTTAGTGCACTGGCACCAATGCCCTGTCCGTCATGCCAAAAATATCAGTCCGCCTCGCCGCCAGTAAATGAATAACGAGTTTCTTCTTAATTTACTTTTTCTGTTTATTATTTATTTTTATTATAATTAGATTAAATAAAATCATATCAGATTCAATCCAAAATAGTTTTAATTATAATTTGAATCAGATTAGATCAGATTAAAGCATATCAGATCAGACAAGATCATATCAGATTTTCAAAAAATCAAATCAGATCAGGCAAACCGAATGCAACCTAAGTAGGGGTAAAGTTAAAAATAATTTGGACACAAACTACACAAATGTGCTATTTATGTAATTTTCAAAGTGAAGTAAATAATTTTGGATAATTTAAAAATAAAAATTTAAATACACAAATAGTTAGTTTGTGAAATTTTGTATCCACATTGTTTCTGACTCTAACATTTCCCTAAATCAGTGCTCTTACTCGTCTAATTTTGACAATTTACATGATGTCAAGTCTGTTGATCCTAAGGTCGAATCCCGCAACAATAGTGTGAGAGCTCTATTATTTGTAATAGTTCATTGTGCACACCAGACACGAGACGATTTTCTAAGGACCAGATCGAGATTATACCACGATTTAACACCCTCACAATCATGTCGGACCAAGGTATGAGAGAGCGCCCAGGGTGGGCGTTCCACCTTTGATAACTTACAGTCAATTAAGATTGATTTTTAATATGTAGTCAAATATCTCTCTGTCCACCTACGAACTCCTCATTATGCATTACGAAGCTTGTCTAAATTTATTTTGAATTCAATTTATTTTATTATAGTTAGGAATAAAATTTTAAAATGAAATTCATATAGTAAACGAACCAGATGAAACGATCTACAAAATTAGAGAAGAGACAAGACTATATTATTTTATGAAATAAATAGTAAAAATAAGTATAAAAAAATGGAAATCACCCTAAATAGGACTAAAACATATAGTTTATGTCCAAAAATAGGACTTCTATGTGTTTATCCTCAAAATAGGACCAAACATTACAATTATACCATTGTTGCCCCTGCCCTCTCTTATGTGTTAACTCTACTGCCCTCCATCTCCTTTCTCTTATTTTTCCATGATCAGAGAGTTTTTTTTTCTTGTTTTAGGTTTTGTTTTGTGTGTTTTCTTTGTTTTTTTTCTTCTGTGTTTTTTTCTTTCGTCCCTTTTTTTTGTTTTTTTGTTTTCTTTCTCTCTCCTTCCTCCTGCCCTTTTTTTCTTGTCTTTTTCATTGTACATGGAGTTTTTAACTTCCTCTATATTTCATTTTTCCTTGTGCAACCCATTTATCCTTTTGTGTTTAATCACTTAATGCTTAAAGAAATAAAATATAGAAAAAGTGCCAAAATAGGTGTTCCATGTTTTTATTCCCTAAATATGAGTTCGCATTGTGGTAATATGACACTCTACATAGGCATTTATTGTAATGTACATGGTCATGTTTGGTAATGTAAACGTATTTTAATTCAGATTTCGGGAATAAAAAACATGAAAATGCTATTTTGTTATATTTTCATTTTTTACTCCTACTTTAGAGAAAGTACTAACGTAGGAGCTCCATGTTTTTATTTATAAAATAAGAGTTTGTACTGTGGTAATGTAACATGTGGACATGTGGTTCAAGTACTTGTGGTCTTGTGGACATGTAGCGCGACCAGTGAGGAAAAAAATGGTTCTGTGTCACAAACGGCGAGGGGTATTTTGGGTATGGCGACGCAAATTAAGTCCTATTTGGGCGATTTAAGTTTTGGAGTCCTATTTAAGTATATTTGATATGTTTTAGTCCTATTTAGGATTTTTTCCCTTTTGAGAAAAATAAAAATATTTCTTAAAGTGTCACATTATTAGAGCGATTTCTTACCAATATATTGTACAAGGGACAGAGTACAAAAAATGACTAGTGAATCAATCATGCTACATCTACACCAAAGAGTGTATCCTATTTTATACCCCGGAGTATACCACAGTTAAGTACCATCACTTTATAAATAGTTCACATATACACAAAATATTAGTATGATCAAAAAATTTTGTATTAACATTTTGTTCTAGTGTGAAGAATCAAAGTAATTGTTGACACTTGTGGTATACGAAATGAGGTATATTCCTTGGTAATACCGTAATACACATCTAGTTTCCACAACTCAACAATAAAAAGACCCCATCAAATAAATAAGGTGCTCCGTACGACCTTAAAATAATCTCCCAAGGTGATAAACAAATAGTTTCATAGTGCTCAAGTCCATTCTAATTATATGAATTTTGATGATGTGGATTAATTTCTTTGAGTTAGTATTAGTATTAAGATTACAATTAGGATTTGAATTAGAATTAGGTGATGAGAAATTATGATTAGGGGATTAGAATTAGGATTAAGAAATTAAGATTATGATTAAGATTAGGTTATTAGAAATAAAATTGGAAGATTTGAATTAGCATCAGGATTAAGATTAAGATTAGCATTAGCATTAGTTATATTACTTGAGTGAAACAAACCTTTTTCCACATTAGCTTCTTAGCCCAATAATTTTTCTGAGAAAATTCAGGATTTAGACGTTGAGTTTGGGTGCACAAAATCACCATTGAAGGTGCTAAGGTTTAGACATAAACTCGGGCAAGCTAAGCTTAGTTATTTTAGCGTGTTGGTTTTAAAAATTTTGCTTGGAAAACAGTTGAAAATCAAATTGGAGTAAATTACTTTTAAACAATAAAAACTCGCACTAAATGTCCAGAAATTGTCCTTTACAAAATTTAATTTAATCTATATTTTAATTCATCACCACTAAAAGCTTGTTTTTTAGGATTGAAAAAAAGAGCTAGATATTGGAAGAAACTGGAACAAACTGGAAGAACTGGAAGAAGCTGGAAAAAATTGGAAAGAACTGGAAGAAACTGAGAGAAATTCTAATTATTGGTGATATTATTTGTTATCTGATCTTTTTTACACTTTTTGGGTCGTTTTTTTTCAAAGTGTAATTTTCTTTTGGTTTTCATAATGTATTACTCCCACCCCGATTCCATTTTTTATTTTCGATTAAAATATTGATGTTTACCTTATATAAATTTAGCTTTAAAAAATTCTATGTAACTATTTTATCCATAATGTTTATAAATAGTTTAAAATATTGATGTTTTTTTATTTTATCACATATATTAATATACAAAAAATGGTACGGAGTATTATTTATATTAAAAAGTCAAAGAAAAAATAATAATGAGTGTGAATCATAAAAATAGTAAGATGAAAAAATGATATAATTTATAAACTATAGTTATGAACATAATAGTTGTAATAATAATAATAGTGTATTATTATTATTTTTAGAATGATTTGTCGGAAAATAGAAAGAGTTTGAAGAAAATAAAAATAGTTGGGAGAAATAGGAAGGAACTGGAAAAAACTGGAAGAAACTAGAAGGAACAGGAAGAATTGTAAGAAACTAAAGAAACTGGAAGGAATTGGAAAGAACTGGAAGGAATTGAAAGTTAAGAGTTCAAGCTCTAAAGAATAGGTTTTAGATCTTTTTAAGTGGGTAGGGGAGTTTACTTAATTAAATAACACTAAAGCATACTGATTTTTCTTAAATAGCATCATATTTAAGTAAATGTTTGATATTACTGGACATTATTTCTCCGTTTGGAGTATTATTTAATGAATAAAACAATTTATATACTCCCTCCGTCTCATGAAACATGAGATGTTTTGCTTTTTGAAGAGATTTAAGGGAGTGTATTTTGGTATTGAATTTCTAAAAATGTTCTTTGATGTGATGGGTAAAAGTAGGATTTGATGGGTAGATTATTAGTAAAAAGGTATGATGTGATAGGTAGGGTATGAAAAAGTAAGGGGTAAAAGTGACTTTTTAATAGAAATGAGAAGTGTTTTATGGGACAGATGAAAAAAGAAAGGAGAAAGATTTTATGGGACGGAGGGAATATTATTTAAAAAATGACTAATAAATGCCATAACTCAATTTCCAACATGTTTTGCATGTGATTGTAAGAGTGTGATACCACATCTTACCTACCCTTATTCATTTCAATTCATCAATGGGAGAATTAGCCAGCCGTGAAGAGAAGAACGCCGCCGCCGCAGCCACGGCGGAAATGTTCGAAGCACAAGCTCACATCTACAAGCACACCTTCAACTACGCAAACTCCGTGGCCCTTTCCTCCGCTATCCGCCTCAACATTCCCGACGTCATCCACGCCGCCGCCGGAAAACCCGTCACCCTCCCCCACCTCGCTTCCGCCCTCAACCTCCCTCCCGCCAAACACGACCACCTCCGCCGCCTCATGCGCCTCCTCACCCACAACGGCTTCTTCCATTACCGTTCCTCAACCGAAGAAGAAGAAGAAGAAGGTGAAAAAGGGTACGTTCTAACGGCGTCTTCGAGACTACTGGTAAAAGGCCAAGCCCCAAATCTTTCCCCTTTCGTCCGGATCATAACGGACCCAGTCTTGATGACGCCGTTCCAGTTCTTGGGCGACTGGTTTTCAAGAACGGCCGACGGCGAGGCGGAGACGGAAACGACGCCGTTTGAGATGGCGCACGGAGGGGTCCCACTGTGGAAGCTATGCGACGAGGTCCCGTGGTTGAACGACGCCTTCAACCACGGGATGTCGTGCAACTCCGAGATGGAGGGATTGGGCCTCAAGGAATGTGGGCCGGTGTTCGAAGGCCTGACGACGGTGACGGACGTCGGAGGGGGCACCGGAACGTTCGCCAGGCTCGTCCTGGAGGCGTTCCCCGGCTTGAAGTGCACCGTGCTTGATCTCCCTCACGTCGTCTCCGCCTTGCAGCCGCCGCCGGCGTCGGGCAATCTGGTGTTTCTCGGTGGGGACATGTTTCGCTCCGTCCCTCCTGCTGATGCCATCCTGTTGAAGGTATATTTTGGCCAACTTGGGTGATTACCGTTTTAATTTTCCTTTTTTTAAGAGTTTTGAAAAGTAAAATTTGCAATGAATAGAACTAGATCATAAGTCATTTTTCAATATAGAACTTAATTTTTTTTATTTTATAAATAAAACTTAATAATGACTAGTGAGAGGAATAATGTCCAAGTGATACTGGACATTTAGTTGAATAATGACTACGGAGTAATAGATAATGATCAATGGTCCTACATTAAGAAATAAAAACATATGATCCTATATTGAGAAAGTCATTATGTTTTAGTCCTATTTAGATAAATTACTCTTTTGTAAATTAGCCATGAGCAAGAAATCTTAAATCTACTCCGTCCTAATACATTTGTAAAAAGAGTAGAAGTAAAACATTAAAAATATACTCCTTCTGTCCACAAATAAACTTTCTGTTCACTATTCACAGAGTCAAACTTTATTCACTTTGTTGGCTTATTTTCGTCACCTATTTGATAAAATAATATGGTCATATCACATCTAGTTTTGTAGATTCTTTTGATATAGTTTTTTAATACGGAGTATGTAATTTTTATTTTTAAATTTTATACCATTTTTTCATATAAAATGATTTGAAAATAACTTCAGTCAAACATCGTAAGTCGTAACGCGCAATAAGAAGTTTAGTTGTGGACGGAGGGAGTATTAAAATAAGAGTTTCATATTTTTATTTCAGAAACATGAGCTAAAATACCATATACATTACCAAAAGTATAATACAATGCATATTTATAGTGCCACATTACTACAATATAATGCAAACTTTTTAAAGAATAAAAATATGAAATTTCTATTTTAGTACTTTCTCTATGTTTTACTCTAATTTATGGTGATTTCTTTTTATTACGGAGTAAAACAATATCTAATTGTTTTAAAAAAAATAAGTAAAGATAAACTACATAATCTTTTTATTTGATTTTAAGTAACCATCAGAAATAATAAGCTAAAAACATTAGTTCTCTATATTCGAATGACTAAGGCCATATTCTCTTCACCTAATTTGAATGGTTCTGATCTGATTGGAATAAATTCTGATCTGATTTGATCTGATCTAAATTTTGTTATACTTAAAGTTGTTTCTAATCTAATTTGAACTGAACTAATTTCATTAAGAAAAAGTAATAAGTAATAAGAATAAATTGAAGAGGTTATGGTGTTAACATATCCACATACACCCTCCATTTCTTAAAGCACGTTTACTTTTATTTTTTAACACTTCCACTTTCTATTAAAAAATTAATTTTACCCTTATTTTTTCTTACCCTACATATCACATCATAACTTTTCACTAATAATTTATCAATCACATTTTATTTTTACACATTTCATCAAGGATAAAATTGAAAAATCAATCACAACAATAGACTCTTTGTTTTTTCTAAAAGTCAAAATTAGAACTGTTTTACGACCGAATAGTATGTATTAGGGTGATGCGGCTAATCGGGCGTTTGGGCCAAGCCCTAATGAGAGGCCCAAACGAGTATTGGGGTGTTTGGAATTATGAACTTCCCTGAATAGTCTTATGAAGAATTTGTTGATAGAATTTGTGAATATTATTCCTATAAAAATAATTGAGAGATACAAAAAATATACTCCGTATATTGCAGTGATTCTTAATATAAAGAAGAATAAAAAAAAGGTGATTAGAGTTTTTCTTTTTTAATTATTTGAGACCATTATTTCAAACCATTACTTTACATATTGGGTAAGTTTGTGCATTTTGTTATTGTTTAGTTTATGACTCTAGCATTACCCTTAGAAATGTTGTCTATCATAATTAAGCTTAATTATACGGAGTAATACTTATTGTCTAACATCCCCTCAAGCTGAGCTATGTGTCACGAGTGGAAGATTGGAGATAAGAGTTTGGAAACGTGTAGATTGGAGAGCTTTAATCAGCAAATCTACAAGTTGATATTCAGAGAAAACAAGAGAGACATTCATAGTTCCAGCAATAACTTATTTTTGAACAAAGTGACTGTCAGTTTCCACATGCTCCATACGCTTGTGAAATGCTGGATTCTTTGTAGAATAAATGGTTGATTGATTATTGCATAAAAGCTCAAGAGTAGAGATCGGAATGCGCAAATGAGTGATAACATATGTTAACCACATAACTTTAGAAGCTGAAGAAGATAATGCTCGATATTCCACTTCAGGAAGGATTATGACACACTGCTTGTTTCTTCGTGCTCTAGGAAATCAAATTTGGTCCAAGATGAATCAGATAACCTGCATTTAAGCGTCCATCAGTCATGTCATTTCCCTAATTGGAATCAAAATAGGTTCTCAACCGCAAATCACTAGCTAGTATCTAATACAAGACCTTGATCAATAGTGCCTTTGATAATATACAAGATCCTATTCAAGCTCTGAAAGTTGTTTTCGATGAGAGCATGCATACGCTAACAGAAAAAGTTCACAACAAACTAAATTTCTCGTTGAGTAGTAGTGAGATATTGGAGACCTCCAACAAGATTAAGGAACAAATTAAAGTACGATTATGGAAGGGTCGACCCCCCCCCCCCCCCTCGCTTAAGTCGGCCAGCTGAATTGGTAACAAAGTCACACTGGGAGTACCATCCTCCAGGCCAGCTCAGTGAAGTAGCTTAGTGGAATATTTATTTTTTGAGACAATAAGAGATGAAGATTGACAAACAACTAACTTCAGGTTTGAGAAAATAGTTAAGAAGACCAAGGTCTTTAGTCTGAAACTCTTGACACATCTAAGTAGTAAACTTGTGCACAAGAGCGGAAGAACTCGTAAAAATGACACCATCAACATATACAAACAAAATAAGAGTGCCAATAAAGCCTTGTAAGATAAAGCGACTAATGTCATGTTCATTCTTGGGAAATCCATATGAAAAAAGAAATGTAGAAAATGGACGATTCCAAGCCCTCGGTACCTGCAGTTTCAAGCGACTATAATAGAATATGGTAATATTATTACTCAAAGAATAAATGAGAGACACAAAGAGTATATATAATAGGCATTCCCAGCCTAATCAAGAACCATAAATAGAAGTCCCTTAAAAATACTAACTCTATAATAATTTAGATTAATCAAAATACTTAGAGAAAAAGACTAAAGTAGGAGTAAAATATTGAAAATATATCAAAATAGAAGTTTCATATTTTTATTTTCGAAATATGAGTTAAAATACATTTACAATGTCAATCATGACCATATACATTATTAAAAAATATTGTGAAATATATATGTACAATGTCACATGCATTACCATAATGCGAACTCTTATTTAGTAGATAAAAATATTTTGAAATATCTATGTAAATTGTCACATTACCATAATGCGAACTCGTATTTTAGTATTTCGTAAACTTTTTTATATTTTACTGATATTTAGGATGATTTCTTAAATACTTATTCTCTGACATTAATTACTAATCTATGTCTCATCACCACATAAATTCATTGTTTGCTATATCTTATTAAGCATATCATGCATGATTGGAGCGACGACAACTGTGTCAAGATACTGAGGAAATGCAAAGAAGCAATCTCCGACAGAGCAAAGGGAAAGGTGATCATCATCGACATTGTTATGGACAAGAAGAAAGGCACTATGACTGAAGTGAAATTGGCGTTTGATATGCTGATGATGGTTTATTTTAATGGCAAAGAAAGGGCGGAGAAAGAGTGGGAAACAATGTTCAATGAAGCTGGGTTCACTAGCTATCATATACATCCAATCTTTGGCATTTGGTCCCTCATTGAAGTGTTTCCTTGATTTATACTCGTGGTATCTCCGTTGCCGAGTATTTGTTTAGTTTCGTTTTTTTTATAGTCATCAATTGCTTTTTATCTTTGACCTATAATTAAATAAAATTTATAAAGTATGTATTAATTAGATAAAATAATATTTAAAAAACTATATAAAAAGAATCTAAGAATATGATATTTATATTAATATTTAATATTAATTTTATTTAATATCGAATTCGCTAATTTTGAGTGCAAAAAGTTAAAATTGGAGGGACGAAGGGAGTAATTGGTAACTTTACATGACCCTTCTCGATTTGGAAGATTATTTTATGCCCGAGAAATGTGATTGTAAACTAGATTTTGAAGGGAAAAAATTAAAGTGGGAGTACAATCTTGCAAATATAGCAAAATATGAGTTTTATATTTTTATTTCCGAAATATGAGCTGAAATATATTTACATTGTCATTCATGACCATGTATATAATGTAAAATGACATGTACAATTCTACATTATCACAGTGAGAATTTCTATTTAGGGAATAAAAATATGAAACTCATATTTTGATACTTTTCTCTATGTTTTAGTCCTATTTAGAGTGATTTCTTATTTTTGAATTCAATTATTTTAAAATTATTCATCTTTGTTTAACATTTGTATATCATTTCACTCTACTTGTTTGAATATATTAAGACCATCTCCAATTTAATACACTAAACTTAAATTCAAACTCAAAATGCAGTATAAATTAAAAATTTATTAGAGCATCTCCAATCATATCATTTTAACTTGTTAAAAGTTATAAAATAGCTAGCTTCTTCTTTTTTTCTTCTCCAAAGGGTTGCTTTATTTTAGCAAGTTTGCCAAAAAATAACTTTGGCTTGCTAAATAAAACAAGCCCCCCAAATTTTAGCAAGCTAGTACTTAAAAAATAAAATAGCAAATGATGATTGGAGAAAGAAACAAAAAAGTAGTTGATATATCACTATTCACTTGTTATAATGTAAAAATAGCAAATTCATATGACAAACATGGTTGGAGATGCTCAAATTTGAACTAATTACTCTAAATTTGAACTCAAATTTAAAATATTCATATTTTGTTTTCTTTTCATGGTTTGTAATTTTAAAAAAAATACATTACGCGATAAAGTACATGTAAATAAATACATAAACTAAACAAAATAATTTAGGGAATTTCTCCGGTGCCTTTCCTAATGAAGGGGCATGGATGCCCTCCCACTAAATTGCTTTCATGTGGACTTTTTAGCCACATCATTTTAACTTTTAAAATTGCATAATGGCCCTATCTCTTTATCCTTATTTAACTTAACTCATCTACACATGCTAATGTCATTTAAAAATATTGTTATTAAATTGAATCAATCATTCCGTTCTAAAAAAAGATTTTAATTTGATTTTTTAGGATCGAAATTAAAAACTTTGGCCATGAAATTTAAAAAACAATATGTTGAATAATAATATAAATTTAAACTACTCCCTCCGTCCCAAATTATTTGCAACGTTTACTTTTTCAGCAGTCGCGGGAACTTTTGTTTATTTCTACGTTTTCATTGATTATTTGATAAAATAAAATATTCTTGATACCTCTTATTTCGAAGAACTTTTTCATGTAGTTTTTGATATGTAAATTTTATTTTTTATTTCTATACCAATATGTAAATAAAATGAATTGAAAAAACTTGATATTTTGCCTAGGGAATACAAATGTTGCAAATATCTAGGGACAGAGAGAGTATTTGATTTGTCTTTAAGTATAATTTTGAAATATCATATTTTGTTATAAAATTTATTAATTGTGTGTATATATATATATATATATATATATATATATATATATATATAATATCTTTAATATATATATATGAAGTACTAAATTTCACTTTCATATAATTCATATAAAAATTAAGAGTACTCCCTCCGTCCGAAAATGTTCTTCACATTCGACTTTTATTAGTCAAATTTTGTAAACTTTGACTCTAATTTGTGGAAAATATATATTATATTATGATATAAATTTAAGAGTAAATTCCATAATTGATCTCTTATAACAGGGAGGTTTCCATATTTAGTCTTCTGTTATCATATATTACTCCCGTAGTTCTTTTTTAAGGGCGCCTTTCCACAAATGATCCTTTTTTGATCTTCTGCCATGTCGGTGTTAATTTAAAAGCTAAAAGTATAATTTGACATCAATATTATGTCCAGTGACGTGTTCTGATATTGGTTAAGCGGATAACACAAAAATCATGACTATGATTGTGGGCTAGGATTCCAACGAAAGACCACATTTGTAGACTATGGTTGTAGTAGAAAGCGACTATAATTCACAAACGACGCAAACGGAACAGCCTTTAGAACTGTGTATGATAAAAAAGATATATTATCATTGTGAAATTACACTTTTAGCCTTCAAATTAACACCAACATGATAGAAGATAAAAAAGGACTATTTGTGAAAAGATAGTCATAAAAAAAGACCACTAGGGTAGTATTTGATAATAGATGACTAAATAGGGAAACCCCCTGTTATAAAGGACTAATTATGGAATTTACTCTAAATTTAATATCAATATATTTCTAATGAATCATAATTTTGAAATATCAAAATTTTATAAAATATACCTATGTATAAATATAGTTATTAATGGTCAAAATGTAACATTGGAAATCGTGACAAGTCAAATGAGAAGAAAATTTTCGGATAGAGGGAGTATATAAAGTTTTAATAATTTTTTTCTTTTGATTTTGTCATCAGATTTATTTTGATTTTTCAATTTTTAAATTTTAATTTTTTTTACTTTAATCTTTTTACATATAATATTGAAATATCTTTCAAGAAAACTAATTTTAAAAAATTAGTTTTTCTAACAGCCAAGTCCAAAAGATACTCTCTTTGGCTTTCTGAATTTTGACTTTTCAGATCAAACTGCCAAGTGAAAAAGCCATTATTCAAACACCGATTTTTGTTGTTCAATTAGTGAGATAACACTTTTTAAACTATTAGGTCTTTTATGTGACACTTTAACCATTAATATGCATGTATGTGTGTGTGTGTGTCTATAATTAATAAATTTTATAAAAAAATATAATATTTCAAAATTATAATTAAAGACAATTCAAATAGTTTAAATTTATATTATTATTCAACATATTGTTTTTTAAATTTCATGGTCAAAGTTTTTAATTTTGATCCTAAAAAATCGAATTAAAACTTTTTTTGGAACGGAATGATTGATTCAATTTAAAAACAATATTTTTAAATGACATTAGCATGTGTAGATGAGTTAAATTAAATACGGATAAAGAGATGGGGCCATTATGCAATTTTAAAAGTTAAAATGATGTGGCTAAAAAGTCTATATGGAAGCAATTTAGTGGGAGAGCATCTATGCCCCTTCATTAGCAAAGGCACCGGAGAAATTCCCAATAATTTATACTACAGCACTGACAAAAGGTATGTAAAAGAAAGAATTAAAGAAAAAAAATATAACACTCCATTCTGAAACCCATATTTGTGTTAGGAAAGATGAGAGAGTAGAAAAATGTGTATTGCTATTCAATATAGGGCAGGATCGGAGAGGAAGGTGCTGCAAAACTGACGAATTGCGCCACCATTAGATATGATGTAACATCTGAAACCCGGTCTATCAAAATTATTTAATTAAGAATTATTAATTAATTATTGAGACGGTCCAAAGCTTATTCTAAATATTCAATTCGTAAATAAATTATAAGAATTATACTATTGTATAGGGTTCAGTGAGACGAATCCAACGATGCAAACAGATATGAATTCGGAGCAAGTTGGCCCGAAAAAGATATTTTATATCGAGGTACTTTAATTAAATTATGGAGCACAAAACCCTATGAGTATATAAGTGCCTTACATGCCTAAAATCACACACGTACGTCGCCCCATACACGTAACTCTCTCTCTCTCTCTCTCTCGACTCCCTTGTTTCCTCTTCTGAATCGGAAGAACATCGGGAGAAGGAGGAAGAGAAGAAGAAGCATGAGGAGGAGGAGGAAGAAGAGGAAGTGGAAGAGGAAGAGGAAGAGGAAGAAGAAGAAACCGTGGTGTGTCAATGTCATTCGTTAGGTCAATATATATCTCGTAGTTTCTTTCGTCAAATTCAAGGTACGTGAAAATCTAACTTTAGTTATATCTATAGGCCATGTTTGAATCTTATATTCGTAAAATCATTACGAATGATTTACGTGAAACCTACATGTGATAGTCCGTTGGTTTGTGATTGATTTCATTGAACAAAACACATGAATAGGTATGGTTTAATCGTAGTAATGTGGGACAAGGTTAGGAATCGATTTATGAAGCTATTGTTGAATTTTCAAGATTGGGATTGGCTTAGCTACTGAAAATCAAACTGGTGCAGGAGCAGTGGTTATCGCGAGAGACGGTAGCCAGGTACCGGTGTACCAGTACCCCGATACCGCCACAAGCCATTCTACTTTACCGGAACCTGCAACCGTTTGGTATCTAGGTAGCAGGCGGATGGTAGACCCTACCGCCATAGGCCATCGGCGCTGGCAGACTCTGTTCCAGCCAGTACCAGGTACCGCCTAAACGGTACCCATGTACTATACCGGTACTCAGGTACCAGACTATGTACCATATGGCACCACTCTCTTGTTTCTGAACCTGTTTTCGTGTCGAGCATTTATTCCAAGAGTTTATATATTGCATGGCGGTAAGCATGAATGTTCACACCCAGCGTTAGGCCAATGATTGATCATGTTTGGTTACATTTGGATATATAATTCCTATTGTATATGCTATGCAATTTTGAATGGTAATGTAAGTTTAAGTAATACAGCTAGAGGAACTCTAGGAATGACTTGAGTCGAATATAGGCAAGTTATTCTGTAAGTATAGAAATGTTAGAGTCATTCGATACCTGCTGGGTCCAATGGCTATTTGAGTACAAATGTGCACATGGAGATCTTTGAAATATCATTCCGAAGGGGACACGGATCTCAACCACCTAACGAGGAACTCCCGAGTTGGTTGAGCTTGACCTTCGTTCTGATTTTTATGGTTTAATCAACTTTAGCACAATTTTTTAACAATTATGTTTACGATTGGGTCCTTAAATATTAATCACAAAAATTCAAGATTAATTTGTTTTTAAATACATCTAAATAAAAATAAAATTAACATACCATATTAGAATTAATAAAAACATTAAGACGAACAATTAATTACACCAACTTTTAACCTTAAATAGGTTTAAAAGTTCATGGTTCGAAGCTTAACTAAATAAAAATTTATTACTCATGGATTCTAAGAATGGAGGTAGTACCAATAGTGGAGAGCAAGACTATAATATGTACTTGAGAACTCAGAATTTGATGCCCCTCATTGGAAAAGTGGTCTTATTTATACAATATGGCCATAGGTTGGCATTTAACTACTAGAAGTGAATGAGGCCCATGGACCTTAATAAATATGTTTGTCTTGATTCTATAATACATCATTTTCTAATACCACTTCCTTATGACGCTTATCTCGTTGACCACGCCTGGATACGTCGCCTTCCTTTGACGTCTTTGGTTAATGATCATTGAGCTTGCGCGGCCCTCCAAGAGTTGACTTCCTGCCTGACATAGTACGCCGAGGGGGTCAAGGGGAGTTGAGTGTGATGTAAAGCGGGAGCCGAGTGTGACGCATGAGCATGGTGCTGTCATCGATCTCCTTTTTAGATGAGAGGGCATTTTGGGCAGAGTGTGGTCTTCCTAAAATATTATACGATCCGGACGAGGCCGATTCCACAGGCCTAGGCGGCCGAGCCACGGAGCGCGTATCTCCATCAATTACAATCATAAAAATCTTACAAGCATTACAATCACAAATATCTTACAAGTATCTTACAAGTTATTTACAATCTCAACATATCAAGTCTGATTTTTAAAATACACGCACAAATCTAATGATATTAAATATTTTATGGATTTTAAAAGTGCAATTGAATATAGATTTTAATACTGCATCCCTCCATTTTAAATCTTCTCAATATATTTATATATATCGGATTGATGGAATTGATGTGATTGATTTCAGTCAGATGACACTTTACGGTGAAATGACATGCTTCGGTCAGATGACGCCAAACTCACTACATTACACTACAAAGCTCACCAATGGTCAATGCAAAGCTCACCTGGAAATAAAGTAAAGCTCACCACTTTGAACACCAAAATTCACCTTTTTTAAATCTTAAAAATTAAAAAATTAATTAAAATAAAATAGCAACACCGGTCAACCACCGGTCAGCAGCGGTGTCCGATAACTAGAGGCTGGCGGCTGGAAGCGGCGGCGGCAGAGCGCCGCCACGGTGGCAGCCGTCAGCGGCAGGCGACGGTCAATGGTGGTAGTCAATGGTCAAAATCAAGTCAGCACCCCTTCTTTTGATTTTATTTTTTGAAAAAAAATTAAAGTGTTGAAAAAATATGGTGAGCATTGCCTTACAGTTTGATGAGCTTTGAAAGTTGTCCTTGGTGAGCTTTGCAGTGCCGAGTGGTGAGCTTTGCGTCATCTGACCGTAGCATGTCATCTTATTGTAAGGTGTCATCTGACTGAAGCCGATCCCATATATGGGATTGACTCTAGTGAGATGACACCTTATGCTGAGATGACATGCTTCGATCAGATGACGCAAAGCTTACCACTAGCCACTGCAAAGCTCACCAAAGATAACTACAAAGCTCACCAAACTGTAAGACAAAACTCACCATATTTTTTCAACACTTTAAATTTTTTTTGAAAAAATAAAATCAAAGGAAGGGTGCTGACTAGACTTTGACCGCTAGCATTGACCGCCGCCGGCCGCCACCGCCGGCCACCGCCGGCCACCGCCGGACTCCGACGACTACCGCCGGCCACCGCCGGACTCCGACGACTACCGCCGGCAGCCATCGCCGGCCGCCACCTCCAGCCACCGCCGTCGCCGTCGCCAGACTCCGGCCGCCGCCGCCGCCTGTCATTGCCATTGACCGGTGTTGCTATTTTATTTTTAATTAATTTTTTAATTTTAAAAATAAAAAAAAGAGATATGTTTTGGTGTTCAAAGTGGTGAGCTTTGCTTTATTTCCAGGTGAGCTTTGCATTGTCCATTGGTGAGCTTTGTAGTGTAGTGTGGTGAGCTTTGCATCATCTGATCGAAGCATGTCATCTCACCATAAAGTGTCATCTCACTAGAGTCAATCATATATATATATAATATATATATATATATATATATATATATATATATATATAAATAAATAAATGTAATATTTCAAAACTATGTTTCAAGTTTAACTTATTGATACTAAATTTATATCACAATTCAATGTATTTTTCTATTATTTGTAGTCAAAATTTTAAAACAAGAGTGAGAAAATTTGTATGTCTTATCATAAATAAAAATCCATATTTCAAAAAAAATCCATTTCGAGTACAAAATCTGTGTAGAAACCTAGAGATTTTGACAAGCCACCAGTTCTTCCGCAAGACCTTCCAGGCTTCATGGCCTCCACTCCTCGACGGCTGCTCCATTCCATCGCTAGGCAGCAACTTTCCGGCAAGAGGTTCTCTATTTTCTGACTAAAAAAATATAAACTATATATTATTTAATTGAAATTAGTGGATCTATGAAGGGACCACACACGTTTATTTACTCAGATTTGTTGTTTCTTGTATGTTATGTTACCCAAAAATTAAATTAAGAGATATTGGTTGTCAAACCAGAACGAGCTCTGCAATCTGTACACGGATTTTCGACTGTTATGTGTATTTATTTATTCTGATTAGGCTCAGGTCACCCGTAAAAATTGGTCCGTAGTTGTGCACTACAAGGGTACCAAAAGGAGCAACACCCCAACCCAATCTCGCCACACTCCACTCACAAAGAAACGAAGAAGAACTGAGATGAACACACAGAGGAAGAGAAATATCACACAAAGAAATCACAAAGAGAAAGGGATGGATGTTTTGCACGGTGAAGAAACACAAAGGCAGCCCCTCAATATATAGTGGAGATTAGGGTGGTAATTAAGGCAAGCTTAATTAGGTTAAGGAGTAAAGGTTGGGCTTGAGTAAATGGGCTGCTAGGTTGGGTGTCAAATATTATTAATATGTTTGGGCGAAGCCCAAATAAATTAACAATCTCCACCTTTGGCCCAAAGTAGTGCACATAGTTTGATAAGGAACCGCGGGACTCATCATAGCCTAATAACCACTAAATCTGTAATCAACAAATGAGAACACACGTAGTGGTGGAGAGTTCACTAAGTACTCTCAAGTCACGAAGACTAGGCAACATCACAAAGCATGCCAAAAAATAACTCACGAATAGTCGAACTCTACCATTAGGTCATCGAGTTCAAAAAACAAAAAAGAAAAGCAAAAGTCACAAAGACAAAAAAGAACAAAAGATCAATACACAATCACAGAGATAGGTTTAAAATCTTTTGACATAAGGTAAATTTTTCAACAGGTAAACACTTAGTACTAATGTCAGCTGGATTAGACTCCGTAGGAATTTTCTCCAGCAAGACAATGCCCTTTTCAACTATGTCTCTAATAAAATAAAATCTAACATCAATATGTTTTGTTCTATCATGAAAAATAGGATTTTTGCATAGTTGAATGGCAGATTGACTATCAGAAAAAACAACCACATTCTTATCAAGTAAGCATATTTCAGATAAAAGCCCTTTAAGCCAAATGGCTTCTTTAAAAGCATATGTGGCTGCAACATACTCAACCTTAGTAGTAGATAAAGCAACAATGTGTTGAAGTTGAGATTTCCAACTAATGTAAGAACCACACAAAGTGAACACGTAGGAAGTAGTGGATTTTCTATTATCCCTATCGTTTGCATAGTTAGAATCCACATAGCCAATTAATCTAACACTTTTATCACTTCTTGAAAAAGTTAAACCAACATTCCTAGTGGATTTTAAGTATCTCAAAAGCCATTTTAGATCATTCCAATGAGCCATACTAGGATTAGACATGTATCTACTCAAACAACTAAAAGCATAAGCAATATCAGGCCTAGTGCTAATCATAAGATACATCATAGAACCAATAGCATTTGAATAAGGCACACTTTTCATTTCATTAATTTCAACTTTAGTTTTAGGGCACATATCCTTACTCAACACAAAGTGAGCTGCTAAAGGAACATCCACAGGTTTAGCATCAGACATAGCAAATTTACTCAAAATCTTATCAATGTAGGAATTTTGATTTTAAAAAAGAGTAGATTTCTTTCTGTCCCTAAAAATATTCATGCCAAGTATTTTTCTAGTATCTCCTAAATCTTTCATGTCAAAATTTTTGAAAAGATAATTTTGAACATGCTCAATAGATTTTAAGCTAGGACTAATGATTAGCATATCATCCACATAAAGGAGAAGAAAAACAGGAACAGAGAAAGTGTTCTTGAAGTACAAGCAGTGATCAACATTACTTCCCTTAAAACCAAAATTTTTCATGCAATTATCAAATTTAATGTTCCATTGCCTAGGTGATTGTTTTAAACCATACAAAGCCTTTTTCAACAAGCACACATGATTAAGCAACTTAGGATCAACAAATCCTTCAGGTTGGTGCATATAAATGTTTTTATCAAGATCACCATGCAAGAAAGTAGTAGTAACATCCATTTGCTTTAATTCCCAATTATACTGAGCAACTAAAGACAACATGATTCTAATTGTGGTGAACTTGACAACAGGAGAAAAAATTTATACATAATCTATTCCCTCCTTTTGAGTAAATCCCTTAGCCACAAGTCTAGCCTTAAACCTAACATTTTCAGGTTCTTGCTTAATTTTAAACAACCACTTGCAGTCCACAAGAGAACAATTTTCAGGTTTTGGCACAAGTTTCCATGTTTGGCTAACACAAAGGGATTCCATCTCACATTTCATTGCACTAACCCATTTTTCAGAACATTTAGATTATAATGCTTCACGATAAGTCTTAGGTTCATCACACTCAAGGGATTCAAACACATGAAAAGCAGACTCAGACATATTACAGTCATCAACATATCTCGCAGGTTTGCTATGGTTCTTCTATTTCTATCCCTAGCAAGTTGATAGTCATGCAAATCATTTTCAACATGTGATTCTACACTATCATTCTCCACCTCATTAGAAATAGTCTCATCTTCATTAGTGTGTGAATCATGGTTCATATCAACATGTTCATTAGTTTCTACATGCACATCAGTAGGAATGATAACAGGCAATTGCTCCACCTCATTTGGAGCCACATTTTCAACATTGGGAATAGGCAAGGACAAACAAGGAAAATTATTTTCATTGAAAAAAACATTTCTACTTATCACAGTTTTGAAACCTTGTTCACCTTTTACCCACAACCTATAACCCTTTGCCCTGTCAGGATACCCAAGAAAACACATAGTTTAGATCTATGTTCGAATTTATCATTCATTTGATGCACATAACCAGCACAACCAAACACACGCAGGTTTGATAAATCTAAGGGTTTACCCGAGAAAGCAACTTCTTGGCAATTCCCTCCTAAAGGTATAGATGGAGACCTATTGATCAAATAAGTAGCAGTGCAAACAGCTTCACCCCAAAAGTTTTTAGAAAGTCCAGAAGTAGCTAACATAGCCCTCACCCTCTCTAAAATAGTTCTGTTCATCCTCTCAGCTACCCCATTTTGTTGAGGCATGTAAGGAACAGTTTTGTGTCTTTTAATACCCCAAGTAACACACAAATTATCAAGTTGTTTGTTGCAAAATTCAAGGCCATTATCTATCCTAAGTGTTTTTATTTTCTTTCCAGTTTGGTTCTCAATCAAAACTTTCCAGTTTTTAAATTTATCAAAAACTTCAGATTTTTGTTTTAAAAGTAAGACCCAAACTTTCCTAGAATAATCATCAATTATGGGAAGAAAATATTGGTTCCCTCCGTGCGTGGAAACACTTGCGGGACCCCACACATCGGCATGCAAATATTCAAGCACATCAAAACACTTAGTTCAAGTAACAGGATTCGAGTTAGGAAAACTAACGCGGGTTTGTTTTCCAAGCACACAAGATTCACAGAAAGGAACATGCATAAGCTTATCACTACCCAAGTGTCCATTTTTATGCAATATTTCAAGTCCTTTATTACTCATGTGACCCAACCGTTTATGCCATAGAACAGAATTATCAACCACAGAATTAGCATGCTCACAAACAGGTTCACCTTTGCACACATACAAATTGTTTTTCTTTTCAGCTTTGAAAACAACAATTAAACCCTTTCTGATTTTCATAATACCTTTCCCACATTTTCCCTCAAAACCCTCATTTTCAAGGGATGCACAAGAAAGCAAATTATAAGACAAATCAGGAACATGTCTAACATTTTTTAAGTTCACAATAGATCCAGAGTCAAATTTAAGACA